ATTGCAGGCCGTTGGGGCAAGAGAATTTGACATATTGCTTTAGGCTTCGTAAGTTCGCTGTCTCTCGTCCGGACCTTCGTCTTTATGCGTTTTTGCCGCGCCGCGCTAGAGCGCTGCAACAGGCGTACATATAATTGAGCTTTTGTTGTTACTGATAGAGTAATGTCTGCGTGTTCGCAATTTTTGTCACCCATTTTCAATTCGGGAACCACAAAAGCTAGAAAGCTGAAGCTTCGGGCACATGTGTTCATGACATGTGCGATTCTCCCGTTTTAATATTATCATTCGCGCAACCTAGTTATCCGTATGGACGCCTAAAAAAATATTCAGATTTTTTGGCGGAAAAGCGATTTCAGGAGCCAAATAAGATAGAGAGCTAAAACATTTCAGGTGCATGTGTGAGCTAAAGATTTCAATTTCAGCCCTTAGGTTTGCATGATTCTCACGTATAAGTGCGTAAAAGTTTTGGTGGGAAAATTGCTAATTCGGCAACTAGAAAGCTGGAGGGCTCAAATTTTAATCGTATATTCCCCGTCCACACACAACTTTGAATTCAACCCCGGCTATTGTACGTACGGACATATGAAAATTTTGGCAGGAAAATTACTAATTCGGAGCCGGAAAAGCTAGAAAACTTAAATTCTAAGGGAATCCTTGTCCAAGTACGACTTGAAAATTTCAAATTCAGCTTCCATGTATATGTGGTTCTCACGCACGGGTATTTAAAAGTTTTGACGGAAAAATTGTTCACTGAACAGACAGGTCATTTTCAAAAAGCCATCATTAAACGGAAATTGTTTATTTCCTTTATGCAAAATTTACGATGATTTATGTTAGTGAACGCACAAGGTAATTGTAAAGCAATAATCATACATGCAGTCAACAACCTGATTACTTCAAGTTTAGTACAAAAATGCATGATCGCACCGGCACGTTTGATGCATTTTAAAGCGGATTTTTTTAGCCTGAAACAATGAAGCAGAATGCCGTGATTGAGCAAACAGCAATTTTTGTCGTTGGTCAAGGCCCTCAAATGGAGATTGTTATCAAAGCGAAACAGCGAGGCGGTCTTGATCAGGTCAGTTACTGCTGCTCTTCTCCAGTTTTCAATAAAAGTTTTAATGCACAAAATTTCACAATTTAAAAGCGGACATTTTTAGTTTGGTTTCCTGGAATTCGACCATCCCTTGAATGCATATTATAAATACATTTCGAAGTTGATCCGAGAAAAGAAGTATATCCCAAAACCGTTCCTGTCAAAGCGACGTCCGGAATCGAATAACCTGGAATCTTTGGAAGGGCAGCGCAGTCTGGACAGTGCTGCTGAAAAAAGTAAATTTCTGAATACTGATGTGAATACTGATGTTCATTTCAAGGTGTTCGTGACAGCTGTTGTTAAGATATGCCTTCTGAAAATTATTTGGTCCTTTGTGTAGTATTTGCATGATGTTTTTGGTGAATATTCAGATTCTGGTGCTGAAAGCGATTCGGATTTCGATTCTGAAGGTGATGGTAACGATGACTATCTCCATCCACTGCTCATGGGTCGATTGCGCAAAAATGATTCTCGCAGTAGTTCTCCTGTAATTGGTCCGAAAACAAAGGAGGAGCATGAGGCTGTTCCGAAAAAAAACCCGCCGGTTAAGATCGAATACGAACTGGGAAAGGTATCATAAATAATTGAAAGATATAATAAAATCAACGCGCACCAAAATAGCCGGTGCGACCACGCGTTTTGTGCAATGCCGCCTACCGAACAATGATTTTCACTGCTTTGGTCTGTGCAAAAACAGTAAATGTTGAAAAATAGTTAAAAATCTCACGCATCGGCACATGAAAGCGGGATTTGAAACTTCCGCAATTTCAGTCTCCTAATTTCCTGGCTCCTGAGCGATTTTTGCGACAAAACTGTTATGTGTTCGTACGTGACACCTCGGCATATTTAGGAACTGAATTCGAATCTGTGAAGCTCCTTCTTAGGCAAGAAACATCCTCTGGAATTTTCGTCCTTCTAGTTCTGGCTCCAGAAATAGTGATTCTTTTTACCAGAACTTTCACGAAGACGTTGAAAATTTGCGGAGTCGTATGTGGGCAAGGGATGCCACGCTAAAATTTTAGCTTTTTAGCTTTTACAGTCACGAAATAAATTTTCTTACCAAAACTTTCACAGGGCTGTACTTGGCATTCTGGGGGTACGTGAAGGCTGAGTTCTAATTTTTGGTGTCATACGTTGGTAGAGGGCATCACCTTAAAATTTCATCTCTCTAACTTCCGTGGTTATCGTGACAATGATTTTACCTGCTAAAACTTTTACGGAGCCGTATGTGTTACCCGCGAGTAAGGGAAGGCTGAAATTAATTAGATTTTCGGTCACACGTTGACGAGGGACACTATTAAAATTTCAGCCGCCTAGCTTTCGTGGTTTCCGAGTTGAAAGTACGGAATCAAATCTGGGACACACACACAGAGACAACCCGGTGACAATATGCGTTTTGTACTGCAGCTGTACAGCACAGAGCGCATAAAAATGATAAGCTAATGAATAAATACTGCAAACTTGGCGTCCAAGCTTTCATTTTCCCTCAGTTTTTGTTTAAAAAAATGTGTCCTGCCCTACTTGCTGGTCACAGTATTTCGCGACTCACCCATTAGTAATGCTGGTCATGTAATTTTGTAATGATTATGTCTTGTAGAAAAAGGGAATTGAACTTAGTTTTAGTGTTTTCAAGAACACGGAACAGTTGATGTATGGCTAAAAAGGAGCTGTAGTTACAAAAGGCAATGGGGGTTTCTAGTGAGTATTACAAGTAGGAATTAAAGAACAGTGATTTCGTTCCTTTTTTACATT